TGCCGGCAGACATGGAAATAAAGGTTCTGAAAGCATTCCGGATAGGAAAAAGGAGTGAAGACAGGACAGTAACACAACCGCCTCGCCCTCTCAAAATTATGCCGGAGAACAAAGAGCAAATCAGCTTTATCCTCTCTAAAAAAACGATCTCAGAAACTCACACAAAAAGGTTTTTTTCAACCGGACTATTCACCAGCGGAACGGTTGAAACGCCGGGAACTTGTCTTGGAGTTAAAATCAAGACTGAAGGATGGCGAAAACAATCTTGCTATCTTCAAGGGGAAGGTAGTTCGGAAATATATGCCGTTTCAGTGGAACCAGCCTGTAATACTACGAACGACGACAGCTATTCAGCTAAAACAGACACCTCCGTTGAACTACCTGATCAAGGCGCCAACACAAGTGAGCCCGTAGCGTCCAGTGATCTGACTGAAACAAGGCATGTAAATGGAACCAATCAGGCAACGGAAAAGCCTAGAGAACACGACGTCCGCGATAACGGAGTAATGCTCACAGCAGTAACAAATGCAACGGAAAATTCGGCTGGTGCTAAACTGAGGTGCTTGTACACGAATGCCTAAAGCCTCATATCGAAACTAGACGAACTAAAACTTTGCCTTATTGAGCTGTCTCCAGATGTTTTAGCAGTAACTGAGACCTGGCTGTCCGCGATAACGAAGTAGCCTTGCCTGGATACCATATTTATCGGAGGGACAGGGAACATCGTCAGGGTGGTGGTATCGTTGTGTATGTGAATGACGGTCTGGCAGTGTCGGATAACACCACCAAGTTTGCGTGCAGTACGGAAGCTATCTGGTTGACCATCAAGGCTACCGGTTCCCCGTGTCTCGATGTCCTCACTGTCTACTGACCACCTAGGACAGACCGAATCGCCGACACTCAACTACTGGAGCAGTTGGAGAAATTTTCCAGTCGACCTAACATCATGATAATGGGCGACTTCAACGCACCAGGAACAAACTGGAATACCCTCCAAGCGTCAGGTCCAAAATCGACATTCGATTACCGCCTGTTGAGCAAAACATTAAGTGCGTGCCTCACACAACATGTCATGTTCCCAACGAGAACACGTGAAGGACAAAGGGCAAACTGCCTGGATCTGGTCTTTACGAAAACACCAGACAGCATAGACGAGATCGCCTCCATGCCGCCCCTTGGCCGAAGTGACCACGTAGTGCTTATGTGGGATTATTCGTTATTCTCCATTTCACATACTTCAGACCACAAAAGGCGTAATGTTTGGCGGGGCGACTTCAATCAGATGAGGGCAGACTTATCCGGTCTTGACTGGAGCTCCTTGTTTACGGGAAGTGCCAACGATAACTGGGAGCTGTTCAAGAATGTCCTTCTGCAACTCATCAACAACCACTGCCCACTGACAAGTGTAAGACTGAACAAACGCCCTGGGTGGCTAAATAGCAACCTTATGAAAGAAATCAAAAGGAAGCACAAATTGTGGAGAAAATACTGCGTCACTAGACAAGTTGAATACTTCAACACCTACAAGACACAGAGGGACAAACTGAGGAAGCTGATAATGCAGACGCGGCGGGAATTCGAGAAGAACTTGCTACAAAAAGCAACGCAGAACCCAAAATTGCTCTACAGCTATCTCCGACGAAGTACAAGGAACAGGCATCAAATCCCCTTGATAAAGACTACTGATGGCGTTGAGATCGCTGATAGTAGGGATAAAGCTTCGTATTTTTCACGGTTTTTCCAATCAGTCTACACAAAAGAGGCAAGGTTCCTTCCTCCCTCCACGGAAGAACTGCCGACTCCAAGCGTCAGTGATATACTCTTATAAATAAATAAATAAATAAATTTTAATTTAATGCCAGTTTACAGGCATTGTCAAGGGAAGCGATTAAACACAAATCCGACCAGCAGTGAAAAAAAACTCCTGAGCTTAAGGCATAAAAATATAGTTGATGGTGGTTTTTGTGGTTTAGAGGGCTCAGGAGAAAAAAACTGTCGGCGGTGGTAGAATATCGACCGTCAAGAAGGGGGGAGGTTGCACGGTATCGGAGATTATCGGACGTCAAATTCCTTTTATGAAGTTGGAGATAGTCAAAGTAGAGGCGTTGAGGAACAGCTGGTGAGACCGGCCATAGTGTTCAGAGACCACAAACGCCATCGCTACGGTACAGTCGATCAGTAGATTCAGCACCCAAAATTTGTGGGAGCTTTTCTGAATGCAAAAAT